TAATCTCCTGAATTACATACCTAGTATATGGAACTTGACAACTAGACAACATAAATGGATTCTCTGTACCCTTACTATGGCTAAAAGACTGATATTGCAGCATTGGAAAGATAAATGTATGGCCCCATTCACTCAATGGATTGAAGACCTGATTACACTTGCCACCTACGAGAAGATTGCCTTTAGACAAAGACTTTGTACAGACACGTATAATGAAATACGGGACTCATTTATGCGAAATACAGTAGATTCAAAAAATGATAGTCATATAAATGTATTAGAAATATATACATACTTGAATATTTGCATAAGTATATATATAATTATAACTATTTACTGTTATAATGACATATACTTTTTTCTTTGTTGTACTTCTTTCACTTTTTTGTAAAGCACTTGTTTTTTTCTCTTTGACAATGTATCTCCATCATTATCATCATTGTGTTTTGTACTTTTTTCGTTATTAATTAAAAAGCAATAAAAATAAATATATAAGATTCTATATTGACATTATTTTCTCCTTTGCTTTTTGTCTATTGAAAGCAGAAGCCAGAATCATTGAGAGTCAGGCAACATACAAATTTGATCAATTATTAATTAATTAATTAAAATACTTTAATTGGTATTGGGATTTTATTTTGATGAGTTTTACTGTCATTAATGAAAAGCATAAATCAGTCTGATGATTTCAAATACTAAACTATACTTTTACAAACCCCTTCATAGTTGGTAGGCCAGGGCTAACCACTGCCCATATCCCAAATGCCCTTGCCCACTGGTTAGCTTTGCCTGAGGCAGAATATCTTAAGAGAGTGTATTCCTTCTCAAAATTAAGATACCTCAAGTTTTCCTTTTCCTGTGTGACATGTATTTCAAACAAATTCACCTCTTTGAAGTAATCTATCACTTCTTTTGCAATCTGTTATATGGTTTTAATCTTGAAATGTAGTTTTTGTGCTTTTGAGTTAAGTCCCTGCAGTTTTCTTGGCAATATTTCGGAAGTGATTTACCGTTGTCTTTTTCCTAGGGCTGAGGGAGAGGGACTGGCCCAAGGTCACCCAACTGGCTTTGTGCCTAAAGTGGAACTAGAATTCATGGTCTCCTGGTTTCTAGCCTGGTGCCTTAACCGGTACACCAAACTGGCTCTCTAATCTTGAAATACCAAGATAACATTTCATTTCCCCTTACACCATCTCAATATCACAGTCCCCCCCCCCATCTTGATTTATAGACCACCCCACTCTGTATGACTCTAGGCAGTAACAGCAACTACCTATGTAGCTATGGTTGGTCCCCTTTAACCTATTCTGGCACCCAGTCATCATGTTGGTATAGCAGAAGCCAGCAGGCACAGCGTCCTCTCTCATGTCTATACAGAGTGCCTCGTGTAACACAGCAATCTAAAACTGCTGCTCTGGCACTGAAATTTGCTGTTTGCACATGGAATTTCCCACTGGACAAAAAACTTGGGATTGTAACAGGAGGAAGCTGGGACATATCAACAGCTTGCATGTTTGCCAAGGGAGACAGCTTGGAACTTCACCATCAACTGGAAGTGGCCCAAAAAATGTAGTGATGGGAAAGGGGAAAAAAAGATCATTCAAACCATGAAAATTTTAAGTCATTTATAGAATGTACAAAATTTACAACAACGTTAACAACTGAGATTGTTATTTACACAGGAAACATTCACAAGAGTACCAAAAACAAAACAAAGACAAAAACAGCAGAATAACCAGAAAATTTGGCACACATTTGGCTTCAGATTACCATGCCCTTATGGTATTCTCACTTTGATAATTAAATGGAATGGAGAAGGGAGAAATAATTTTTCCCATCCTAGACATCTAAATTCATAATGAAACACAAATGCTTGGTCTACAAGTTACAACATCACACTTGAACTGTAATAATCCAAATTAAGACTGAGAAGTATCGTATGTTTGAATTCAACTGTTACTGAGTAACAAACCTGGGCAACGTATGCTACATTCAGATAGCTGCAGTTTTAGGACAATTCTGTCATGTTTACTTCTAAACAAGAAATGTTAATCCAAATCGATGTCCAGAGTCACCCAAATATGTTATAGATGACTATATCATGCAAGAAATACCCACCACCTTTCAGAGCATTCACAAGATATACAATACAATGGACTGCATCCAATGGGGTCCCAAACAGGACAGACTCTTCCTCCACGTTTGTGCAGCCATCAAATCTGTTCCAGAGGTTGGGAGACACCCCTCCACTGAGCAGACTTGGAGGTATGTGCAAGGGGGAAGATGAATGAAGTTCAATTCCACTGCACAAATGGAAACCGGCTTGTACTACACTAACTATAGCCTGTTCTTTTATGAGGAACAGTTACTGCAAAGAATTCTATTTAGGGCAGATCTACATATCACACACAGTCAGTAAACTTGACCACATGACATCTTCTCTCACTACAACTTGTAGCAGAGCTAATCACAACTTATTTCCCCACTACAATTCCAGCCATCTCTCCAAAATGGATGTTGCATTCGTGGAAACATCTCATATGATCTAAACCTACTACATGGGAAGTCACAACACCGTGGGAAGGGTACGTAGATGCTGTTTGTAACTTCCTCCATGTGATAGATCAATGAATGAGGTGCAGCAAGAAGTCCTAACTGCTCAACAAACCTCTTTCTTCAATACATGAGATAGAAAAACTGTCTAGATTTCTGGGATAGCATGATTTAAAACAGTGTTATTGAACACACTTTTAACTTTTGGCACATACAATAGTTGTGGTATATGGATAATTGCTTTGGTAAATTGAGGGGCAGACTTGGAAACAGGTCCGATGCTACAGCTTGCAGATGGGCATGACTTCTTTTCAGCCAGACTTCTTTTACTTGATGGTAGCTATTTTGAATATACTACAATGCTAGATGGACTGTTCCAATTTTGCTTCCCTTTGCAACCTGAGATTATTCTATAACTTGTTTGTACACCAGATCTCAAGAAAGAATTCTAATGGTTTAATGAGATGAGAGTAATTGAATATTTAATATGTCTTATGATTCCTTGCCATTATTGTTAAAGAAAAATGCCTTTCTAGTAGGCCATCAATACACTTGATCCTACAAAACTCTGAGTGGGAAGAAACATGCAAAAGGCAATTCTCCTGGAAAGGAATGTAGGGGGAGAAATGAGTCAAAGGGGGCAGAGGTCACCTGACTCTAAATATATGCTGAGCATTTAATTTCAATGGCTTCTTAACCCTACAGTAGATGTGGGACTTCAAAAAGTGTTCCCCATTTTATGGAAATAAATTATTAGTTGCATAAATAAATAAATTTAAAAACAGTGGCAGGAGAGGGATCAGTCTCCATCTCCTGTTTCTGAGCACCCCAGAGGCATCTGTAGCAACCTTGAGAAATCAAAAGCTGATCTAAGATGGGCCTGGTCCCATCAAACAAAGCTATTCTTGGATTCTCAAACTGGCTTGAAAATCATTCTCCTTCCCTGATCCTTTTATCAGACTTGCATGAAGAACACAGATATCTAAGACATCCCTTTACTTTTAATTGGGGAGACAGTTGAGATACTTAAAAGAACTAATACATAGCAGGGCTGTGCAAGATTTTTTTAAATGATTTGGCGGAAGTGTTTTGGACCTTGCACTAGCATAGCACCTTACAGCTCTTCATTAAAGCAATCTGATTTTCTTCAGGCTTCCACACACAGCTGAAAATAAAGATGCAGCTGCTTTAAAGCCACATTGACTTTAACAAGTGAATTCTTTAAAGCAGCCACAACCTTTTTTCAGGCTCTTGCAAAAATGTGAAAAAGGTGGGCTGCTTTATGGCAGACCAGACAGTAATTTGTGAAGTTTTAATAATCATTTCATTCATATTAGCACAAAATGGCTGGTTTATATATCTTTTAGATTTATATAATATGAGACTAATGGATGATTACTTTAATTCTTTAAAAAATCTGTCCAGACCATGTAAAGCTAAATTTTCTTCTTTCTTCCCATTTCCTCCACAATTTGCAACATGGATCTGTGCTGTGACTTGATAAAATGCTGGATCGCCACTGATTCATGTTAGCAAATAATTCATAAAATCATAGTAATGTATGATTACATGACTGCACACTGTACATAAAATTATACCATGGTTTAATTTTACCATAAATCACTGATTTCTCCCTTACCAGCCATTCCCCTCCACCCCTTGGCCATTAACAAATGCTCTTGAACATCACTGATCAGAAAGCAGACAGGTCATGGCAGGAACAGCAATAGCAGCACTCCTTGTAGTAACTTAAGACTGGAACTCTGTACAACATGTTAGTAATCCTAATCCTATTATACAAATATAAATACTGTGACCTACTATGTAAAATAAACCATACTGGATGGCACAAGTATTGTTTGGATTAGAAATAGTTCTTTCTTGAATGCAAGTCATTCATCCACAATAAATCTCTATGCCAAAAGTTCTGATCAAGCCTAAATCTTTATTACACTGGTTGCAGGGAACTCTTACTGAAATATGCCTATTTTGGGGTCCACAGGTCCCCAACAAGGTTCCAATGCACACATAGAGCTTCACAAAGGAAATGAGGATGGGCATGCATGCAGAGTAGATAATGAAAGGCAAGCTTCTGTAAGCACATCAGACATAGGGCTGCATCATGCATAGTACTCTCCTAAGCATGTCTGTTCAATAGTAAATGGCAGGGACTCCCACAGTAATTACTCCAAGTGCATATGAATGATCTGGCAATCTCACAGAGTGAGTTCAATGGGCCTTATTCTCAGCAACTGGGCACAGAATTACAGCCTTATTTTATTAATTGGTTAGATTAAGTAACATTTTAAAACTTTTTAATAATCAGCATGATTATTTAAATAGCAAATGGGAAAAAAATAGCTCCTTAGGCATTTTAAAAATAAAAATTCTTACCAGATAAAAAAAGGCTGTAAAAACATTTTAGAAAAATCATTTATCATCTTCATACCTCCAAGGCAACAACCAAGTGCCTGCTTACCATGCACGAAAATGATTTTTCTAAAATGGGTATCGATCTTCTATAGTTGATTAAAAGATATGGATTAGATCTAGTCATAGTATAGGCCCTATTAAAATCATGGAGAGTTTAGCTGTGATTTCAGTATGTCTGTGAAAATACGACTAAATCTAGATCCAATCCAATATAATGATCAAGCTAAGATTGGTTTAATGCTGTAAGATGATTATCTAGAATCCTTTTTTGCATAGAAGAATAGTGTTACTTTGAAACCCTGGTTTTCAATTAGCATTATTCTAAGTATGCAATTTCTAGAAATACTCCTTTCACAAGAATAGAGAATGATTTAAAAAACAAACACCCATTTTAATGACTACAAAAACCTTCCTTCAGAATATTCAACTTACAACAAAAGTCCCCTTTTTTAAAGACACAGATCAGAAAGTATGGCTTTTGAACCAGCCAAGGCTAAAAGGAATTCAAAAGGTTGTTTTAAAATGTCACTTAAAAAAAAAAGCATTGAAAAACATATATTAAATTAAGGTCATGTTTGTGTGCATAAATATTTTCCTCCAACTGTTTTCCTTGATGTTTAATTGGTAATTTATCCAAAAAGGACTACGTAGCAAAGAGTGAGAGGAGACACAGCATTATTACTGATGCATCTTGCCAATGTCTCTGTGTATGATTTATAGGCGTTGTTGTTGCAAAAATGGCATCGCTAGAATTTCTGGGTAATGTCAAGTTGCAGATGTTTCCTTCACAGCAAGAAGTGCAAACCTGGAAAAAGAAGAGAGACTTAAATAGTTTCTTTCACAACTGATGGAAACTTCACTATCAGAGACAAGCTACACATTATACCCCAACATCCACTGCTGCTATTTAAAACTGCTGTCATATGGAGAAGTGTCCTTTTTTATCTAGACCATGTGGTTCTAAAAGCATGGTTGCTGTAAAGATGAAGGAAATTAGAAAGGAGAACTGGTGAATTAAAAAAAAAAAAGATTAAGACCACTTTTCTCATACTATACCTGTAATTTAAATTTGCTTATCCAACCACAAGCAGTTTTAATTGGGGGGGGGGGGAAGCCTGGCTATTAGAAGGTACAGTTAACCCTTAACTGATGTATCTTTAGTGATCTATCCCTCGCAAGTGGCTACCATGCAGGGCTGGGCAATTAGCCTCCTATTTCATATCATCAAATCATGAATTACAGAGATTATACATTTTAAAGCTTTATGGGAAAAAAGGTAATACATTTACGATAAGATACTAGAGAAGCTACTTGAAATTCAGAATGTCTTTCCCCAAAGCATTAAGTGTAGCATTAAAAACACCTCCTTGTTCTGCCCATCTTTTAATCATCATTTACATTCCTAGAGGAAGAAGGGACATTTTCCCTTCTAATTTATTATCAACTTCTAAATCACAGGAAGGAAAGAAAAAAAGCCTTGACTGTGGAAGAATCCAGACAAAATGGAAGAATGTTAAATTCTGTTCTGATATAAATGTTCTTCTATGAATTTTCTAGCATTGGCTGGAAATCCCAGTTCCCCCTGCAGTGGGTGCCCATTTTGAAATTCAATAACATGCATTTCCATCTTTAGAAAGGGGGGCAAGGGCTCCATAAAATGAACTTCAGAGAAAACAGAGAATGCTTCAAGAACTCCTGGAAAGTTGCTCTAATAAATGAACCACGTTACGTGTGTGGAATATTTTATGTGGATTATTCTACCCATGTGGATTATTTCAGATGACTACTCAAAACAGGAACTTACTGCTCTATGCCCACAGCATTGTTAGTAACATCCACTGAGTGACATATATTTGCTGCATCAGCTCTTGAGTTGAGAATTTCCATTTTCTCACATCTCCAAATGATGCCTCTTGGTAGTCATCAGTATTCACTCAGAGTTTTTAGCAAACCTATCTTCGCCATTACATGACTTCAGCATTGCTTATGTACTTTTCTTAATTCAAATGATTTCTTTCATTAAATCTTCCTAATTTTGAGTCAATTACAATGCCAAACAAAGCAACTAACTTCAAGTTATGTTTGCAAAATAGTTTCTCACAATGCATGAAAAAGAGCCAGCATATTGGAGTTATACCAATTAATTTCAACTTTTTACCTTCAGTCCTTTGTGCTGGAGAGCTATGCAACCTGTAGTCAAACAATCCTCCAGGGGCACACATCGCTTAGTAACTGATACGCTCTTTCCATTGGCTTCCAGGGTATGTTGAGAATAGCAGTATCTTGTGGCTGGCAAGAGAAATAGAAAGCTTTATTTCTAGTGTAATTAGCTGTGTACAGCAATCCCAGGGCTATAAACTAGATGGGAAAAGAATATCCTGAAAGGTGATAGCAAACCATACTGTAATTAATAGAACTACACCAACATGTCCATGAAGTCAACAGGAATCAAGCTTGATTAACTTTACCTTTAATCACAGAAAGTGCCTGCACCTAGCTCATCATGGATGAACTCAAAAAAGGCAAGTAGGGTCTGATCTGGCTACTATTTGGCTGGGAAGCCACTAAGAAATCTCAGGGCTGCAGGTTAGAGGAGAAAGTCAAAACCACTACTATTGCCAAGAAAATTACATGGATGTGTCCATGCAGTCATCAAGAATCAAGTCTGATTTGTATAGCAAGTTGGGAGACAAAGAGAAAGAGAGCGAGCACTACAATCATTCCACAGTCGTGAGTTCTTCTATTAGGTTTTTATGGATAGGAAGACTTTTTCCATCCCTCTTTTAAAAGCAGCTTCAGCTAAGTTAATTCTGCACTGTAAGTAGGAAAGTTTTGCATTTAGGGCAAGACTAAGTTCTAGTATTAGATGGAAGAAACATTTTTCAATTCATTTTTCTGAAAAGGTTTACATCGGCTTGCATCAACAAAAGCTGCTGTAATTT